AATATGGTAGCCACTAGCCACATGTGGCTATTTAAATTTAAATTAAATTAAAATGCAGCTTTTCAGCTATACTAGTCCCTTGAATTGCTCAACAGCCCCATTCATTAATTAAAATTAAAATTTCAATAGCCATGTGTGGCTAGTGGCTACCACACTGGACAGCTCAGAGTTAGAGCATCACTAACTAGACTAGCAGATGAATCTCAAAACATCAGTGTCTTAAAAAAATAAGTGTATTGTTCAGCTGCATTACACTCAAACCCATCAGTGCTAGGGTGTGGAGAAGAGGGCATTCTGCTTCACCAGGAACATGAAGGAACACTGGTTCCTTCCATCTAGCATGGCTGCCGTCTTCAACACGCACCCTTCAAGGTTGCTGAGTAGGAGAAGAGAGAGTGTGGAGCCTGTTTGGGAGGTTTTCTGCAGGCCATATCTGGAAATGGCCTACCTATACCCATATTCTAATGGCTACAAATAAATGATATGGCCCTACCTAACTGCAGGCTAGCCTGGAAAAATATGTAACCATGTGCCCAGAAGGGAAAGGAACCAGCTTTATGGATACATAACATTACCCTGCCACATTGAAATGTGCAAAGAGTTCTGGGAACAGTCTCCAACACCTCCTCCGTAGGGAACTGGAAATGAATTTTAACCAGTGTACTAAGGGAGTAAATGTGGTACAGTTCTGGATGTAAAGAAGAGATCGAAGGATCAAAATGGGGCGATGGGGGTTAAACATGCACCAGGGATCAGGAGGAAGAGACGGAATTAATAATAGAGGGTAGAAAGTTTGATTTTTGCTGATGGAGAACCACTTCTTCCTCAGAAAGAGAAACAAAAGGAAAGAAAAAGTGTGAGAATAGATTTTGAGGTCAAAAGGAGAGAAATTAAAGATTCTTAGGTTGATTCACCTTGTCTACTCTGTAAGATAGAAGGTGAGGATATTTGCTTATTATGACAAGGCTGGGAAGATGTTTGGGTAGGTGCTTAAAATGAGCAGAAAAAAGTCAGGCATGGTGGCTCACACCTGTAATCCTACCACTTTGGGAGGCCGACAAGGGAGGATTGCTTGAGCTCAGGAGTTTGAGACCAGCCTGAGCAAGAGCGAGACCCTGTCTCTGCTAAAAATAGAAAAATTAGCTGAGCATAGTAGGGTGTGCCTGTAGTCCCAGCTACTCGGGAGGCTGAGGCAGGAGGATCGCTTGAGCCTAGGAGTTTGAGGTTGCTGTGAGTGAGCTATGATGACACCACTGCACTCTACCCAGGGCAACAGAGTGAGATGGTCTCAAAAAAAAAGAAAAAAAAATTAGTGGGAAAAGACTTGGGACAGGCCCTGTGAAGAATGCTTGGGCATTTGCCATACAATATGGAAGGGATTTGTTTCAGACTAATCCAGTGACCCAGACATCTCATAGAATGTGTCAGGTAAACTCAAATATGTATCTTCTTTTTCTCGTGATAAATATCCCTATGGTAAGCCAATAGAACAGAGTTCTGTTAATCTTCTCTTTGACCGAAAAATTAGGCTTTGAAAATTTAGCTTAGACTTTTTTCTCCTGCCATAATTAATGTGCCAGTATAAGAGCAGAACATTAAAGCTAGTGGGTAGATGAACATGCAACAATCTTAAGAAAAATCAGAAGAGCATATTGAAGCTCATAATTTGTATTTTGACATCGGTGGAATTGTCAACACCACACGAAGTTTGAGAATGAAATTACTTCTCATTAACATTGAACTTAACCTAGGAATAAAATAAATATTCTTTGTTGGAGAAATTATAAAATCTTGGAATTGCAGCAGCCATACAATTTAATAGTATCTCGTGTACTTGCCTCCCACTCCCTACTCTACCACTTCAGTTTCCTCCCTACCCAGGTTCTTAAAGAACTCTTTGAGAAAAATTCATAATTTAACATCAGTTGGGGTGGGAAGGCAATGGCTCACTTTATGTAGTTGCCTTTTTTTTTTTTTTTTAATCTGCCCAGAAATTCCCCATTCTTGTATGCTTGTGTGGGGCTGTCTGACTCCCGGGCTCCAAAGGTGACGTAAGACCGAAGTGTGGTTGGAATACTGTATTCTCCTGCCGACACTGAAGGGCATGGGAACCAAGAAAGACAAATCAAAGCTGTCCTTGGGATTTTGACTGGAAGCATAATGTGGATTCACACACACGATCCAATCTCAGTTAGAAAACACAGTGTATAGGAAAAGAGCAAAACTGCCGTTAAGAACTGACTGGAGATAAAACTCAACTCTAAAAGGACTGATGTTCTGCAGGTTATTGGCACAGACTCACTCCTAGTGCAGGCTTTAATCACTGGCCAAAGCTCTCACTGTGAGAGCAGAAACTTTATCTAATTCACCTTTATCTACAGTCTCTGTCCCAGGGGCTGGAACTGAATACATATTCAATAAATATGTGCAGAATTAACTAATTAGTCAATTACTGGGTAAATGTTATAAACGTCTTTAAAGACTTCAAGGAAACGTTTGTACTCCTGGTAATGTAGGGCAGTGCTGAGTGCAATCATTTCTTTCTCAAACCACAGTTTTCTTAGAAGTCAGCAAGGAAATCCAACAAGTTATTTTCGGGATCCACTTGGGGTAGGAAACCTTGAGAAATGCCCACATAAGCCAGTAGGCTCTCTGGACAAAGCACTGTCACTTTTGCTCTGTTTCTACATAACCACTTCTTAGATGTTTTGACATAAGGTACAGTTTGATCTCTGAAATGGAAATTCATACCAATTCTGACTTGTATCCTGCAAACTTCCTTCCCTGTTGTACTTCCTTTTCAAATGTCAGAGGAAGGCTCTACATAACGAACAGAGCCTCGATTTTCTTGTGGGCCACCCCCAGCAATAATTTTGGCTTCTCCCCCAAGTATATATACATCCTAACCTTCAGACATACTAGTGAAGGACTTGAATTGTCTAGCTACTCCACTTTAATGTCAACCTCTAGGAATACAGCAAGAGTCTGTTCACCCCATCCCCCTGGTCCTATGATGTGTAGAGCCCTGCGGACCAGCACTGCCGCTAGGGCCTCGCTCCTGGCCCTCTGGACTGTGACAGGGAATACTGCTATCCTTAAGGCCCTGCACACAGCAGGGAACAAATCCTTTGCTGAATTCTCAATAATAGATGAGACTAAAGACAAGATAGTAATGGCAGGGGGTTTGTATAGAACAGACAGCTGAAGGGTTATTTTGGGAATGTGGAGAACATCTTGACCTTCAGTGGAATATATTACATACTTACTTCAGAACTCCCTTCTCCTAGTTTTCACATTCTTTTAGTGAGGGGGGACATTTTTACTGATCATGTCATTCTTCATTTAAAATTCAGCAAATGGCTATCCATGGGAAATTAGCTAAATCATAGGATATCCACCTTCCAATCCTTCCAGTTAGAATCAGTAACCTTTATTACATGGTTCATAGCACCTGGGCTATTTTCTACCTAGAATAGTAATTATATTTTTTATAGTTATTTAATATTTGTCTCCTCCACTAGACTGTAAGCCCAGTGGAGGCAGGGACCATGAGGGTGGGCATTGTGTGTCCAGTGCTTAGTACCATACTTGGTATACAGTAGATGTTTACTATTTAAATGTATAATAAATACATACAATGGAGCCATTTAAAAAGCATGACAATGTGGAATTGTTTATTGACACGTAAAGTTACCCACAATATAATGTTAAATTTTAAAAATCAAATAATAAAATAGTAGATATACTACAATCCCATTTTAATAAAAAGAATAGCCACGTATACAGATACATACATCAAAATGTTGATAATGGTAGGTTATGGATGATTATTTTATTTTCTTAATAACTCTCTGTATTACCTGAATTTTTTAAATAACAGCATTTATCATTTTCTGATTTAAAAATTATTTCCATGTTGAGAAAAATCTAGACATTAAAATGACCTTTTTTCCCAATCACAAAACTTCAACAACTAATTTTGGCATACAGTATTCGATTGGACAATATTAGAAACAACCTGAATTTCTGAATGCAAATAAAAATGTTGGATTATATTCATCTTGATGCTATTTCTGATTAAAGTGGACTTTTAACATAATGGTTATTATGAAATCTTCACTGACATATAAAATTTATTATTTTATTTTAGGTCTATAATTACCCATTAGACTCCTTTCTCCTCTTATCCACATTCTTATTTAGGATACGGAGAATGGAATAGACCTTAATTCCTTATCTTATTCTATTTTTTAGTTGAAGATCAAGAAAGTTAAAAGGGGACTTCTGAATATATAAAAAGTCAGCCTGTTACATTTAAAGTTGCTTCCTTATATGATGGAAGTTTGCAAAGGTGAAGTTCTTTCCCAACAAAACACTAAATTATTACCAAAATTCTAAAAGTACATCAATGTTAAACAAATACCTTTAATAGACTGGCTATAAAACTATAATTGGGCATTTTTAAGACCAGGTTATCATTTTTCCCTTTTAAAAGATGTTAATTTACATAAATAAAACACAGATGATATCTCTATACAGAGCAAGAATATACTCCTGGATAGCTTAAAAGATAAGTATAATTGCACTTATTTTATACAATTAGCATGATTGTAGGGAAATGGAAAATATTTTTTATACATAAATTTCTTTTTCCAATTAAGCAGAATTAAAAAGTTTCAGTAAGAGTCAGCCAAAACACAAACAAAAACAAAAACAGGGCAAATACTGTATATATATGGCTATCTGTCTTATCGTAACATTAATTTTGTTATTGTTGCCATTTTCAATCCACTGACACAAAGACCTCAGCACCATATTAAGAAGTCATACTTTGACCTATAAAATGTAACAGCCCCAGGAGAACAATTACACCATTATTCGTTTTCAGTAAAAAGTCTAATAGAACAGTGATAAATATTGTGCCTTAGAACCTTAATCATATAATACAAATCATTTATAATACAAATTATAAAGATAAACATGTGCTGGAATAGCTAGGCTTTACGCACTCTTTGGAAACTCAAGAAGTTCAAGAATGTCTTATCAATCTTCATTTCAGATTTAGTAGCATAAGAGCTGGGTTTTCTAAGTAGGATTTCCACAGATTAGAGAAGCGTGACATTGTAGCACCATCGATAACTCTGTGGTCAGCTGACCAGCTCACGTTCATTATCTGTGCCTTATACACTTCTCCTTTTTGGTTAAAACGGGGAAGGGCCTAGAAAAAAAAAAAAAAAAGGAACAAAGAGTAAACCTTCACTTGTTCAAAGCTTAAGCTCCAACAATGACATATCAGGCAAACTATCCTCCCTGCAACAGAGAGGAAACGGGCATCCCAAATAATTTTTGAAATGCTGACTCCTACTTTTTCCATCTTTGAGAGTATGTGCCTCCAGCTGTCAGAGCTTCTCCAAGGCATTTCCTGTCCCCTGTGCTATTCCCATACCTACGTTCATTAAATTTCATCTCAGATCTCAAACGTTCAACAACTATTTAAGAGTTGTGCCAGGTACTCCTCTGGGCTCTGAGGAGAGCAGACGATTTAGGATAAACAAGGCTTCCTCAATGAAGGTGGCGAGGAAACAAGCCATAGAGGCACCCGGAGAAAGACGACGGAGAGCAAGCGTGACTGGAGCGCTGGAGAAAGCGCAGAGTCAGGCAGACGGCGGAGCAGGAGAGGAGGCCACGGCTGCACTGGGTGGGAGGGACCACGCCATTAAAGGCAGTGCTGCTCGATCTCTATTTGGTAAAGGACTTTAAAAAAATATTCTAAACCACTGAGGGCTTTTTTTTTTTTTTTTGAGACAGAGTCTCACTCTGCTGCCCAAGCTAGAGTGCCATGGTGTCAGCCTAGCTCACAGCAACCTCAAACTCCTGGGCTCAAGCAATCCTCCTGCCTCAGTCTCGAGTAACTGGGACCAGAGGTGTGCTCCATAATGCCCGGCTAATTTTTCTATTAGCAGAGACGGGGTCTTGCTCTTGCTCAGGCTGGTCTCGAACTCCTGAGCTCAAGTGATCCTCCTGTTTCAGCCTTCCAGAGTGCTAGGATTACAGGCATGAGGCATCGCACCTGGCCTATTGAGGGCTATTTTTTAAAAAATACATTAAAAGTGAATTATTATCAGCCGGGCGCGGTGGCTCACACCTGTAATCCTAGCACTCTGGGAGGCCGAGGCGGGCGGATTGTTTGAGCTCAGGAGCTCGAGACCAGCCTGAGCAAGAGCAAGACCCTGTCTCTGCTAAAAATAGAAAGAAATTAATTGGACAACTAAAAATATATAGAAAAAATTAGCCGGGCATGGTGGCACATGCCTGTAGTCCCAGCTACTCGGGAGGCTGAGGCAGGAGGATCGCTTGAGCCCAGGAGTTTGAGGTTGCTGTGAGCTAGGATGACGCCACGGCACTCTAGCCCAGGCGACACAGTGAGACTCTGACTCAAAAAAAAAAAAAAAAAAGTGAATTATTATCTATTCAGTACAATGTACACTATTCAGGGGATGGGTACACTACAAGCCTAGACTTCTCTACTATACAATTTATCCATGTAACAAAAAAAATTTGTATCCCCCAAATCTGTTAAAATAAAATTTAAAAAAAGATTCTTATGCAAACTTCAGATATTTGAAAGTTAAAAAAAATTATATAGTCCTATAAATGCACACATGTCCATGTGATCTCACACTCTAGGTTACGCAAACACCCCTGGTCTGTGTCATCTCCGTATTTCATTCCATTTGTAATGCTCCATTACTACCTGGCAGGAAGGCAGTGCTGAAAGAAGTCCACAGCCACAAAAAAAAAAGATCTACTCGTCACCTACCCCCCAGCCAAGACACTGCGGCTGCAGAGGCAGTCAAATAATCCTTGGAAAAGCAACCTCACAAGAAACAAGCTTGACCACTCTGCCATCATCAAGTTCCCCCAACCACAGAGTCGGCCATGAAGACCACAGCACACTTTAGTCCATTGTGGACATCAAAGCCCACAAGCACCAGATCAAACAGGCTGTGAAGAAGCTCTGTGACACTTACGTGGCCAAGCTCACACCCTAGGGGATCAGGCCTCATGGAGAGAAGAAGGCTATGTTCTACTGGCTCCTGATTAAGGTGATTTGGATGTTGCCACCAAAATTGGGATCATCTCAATTGAGTCTAGCTGGGCTAATTCTAAAGGTATATCTTCACCATTAAAAAAAAAAAATATGTAAAATATAAGCCCCAACTTCTTGTTATTAGATCAATAGACATCAAATCACATTGTCAAACTGCTATAGAAGTTTCTGTACTTATCTCCTCATACCTGGGTGATAACAGTCACATGAGATGCAAGTCTGGAGCACTCTGAGTAGCATCAGTACAGGGTCCCTTAAGCCAATGCAGCTACTTGCCTTTAATTCTGGGCAAGATAAACCACTGGAGGTGTCTGAGCAGAATGGCCAGTCACTCAAAGGGGAGACTTTAGGAGAAGCAGGTTTGAGGATGGGGAGAGGAACAGGAGCTCAGTTTTGGACATGTTAAAACTTGAGACGCCGGCCGGGCGCGGTGGCTCACGCCTGTAATCCTAGCACTCTGGGAGGCCGAGGC